GTTTGCTGCGTTGCCCCCGCCTCCCTGCTGTCTGGGCGCCTGTGCCGCACCCACCGGCCCGCCCCGCCAAACCCCTCTCGTGTGTGTGCTTGTGCGTGCTGGCGCGCCCCCTGCCCTCCCACTGCCGCTGCGGGTGCGCATAACAACACACATACAGGCAGGCAAACAGGCAGGCAGCAGTGCACCGTTGGGGCACTGCAGCGGCGCCAATTTGCACGTGGCGACGGCGGCGCAGTGTGCGGCTGTGCGAAGTCCCGCCGCTGGAAGAGAAGGGAATGGGAGGGAGGGAGAGTGGACGGTGTGGCTCACCCTCTCTTTCCTTGCGGGGTGGCAGCGCGCTGCGGGTGGCCGCGTCCCTTCGGAGGCGCCGTGCCCCGCGCACGGTGTGTGTGTGAGTGTGTGCGGCCAGCGCGGTGGGTGTTCGCCTTGGGTGTCGTGTGACCTCTCTCTCTCTCTCTATTGTGCGGCTGTGTCCGTGCAGCCCAGTGGAGAGCGTCTGACGGCGGGTCAGCAGGTGCTAGCGCCGCATCCTGCTGTCAGGACCGTTTCTTCTTCCCCGCATGACTCCTCCTTCCCCCCGATTCTCTTGTCTCCGTCCATCCCTGTTCCTGCTGCGCTCTTCTGCCGACGGCTGGCGCGGCGTCCGACATGTTGGCAGCACGCACTCCAAACTGCAGTGGCAATGCCGGTGCGGGTTCTTGTGACGCTGCCCCCGATGGACGGGCCTGCCGTGACGGAGGCGGCGCTGGCGGAGCAGGTGCTGGATGAGTTCACCGCCGCGCGCCGCGCTGGCTCCGCGGAGGAGCTGCCCTGCTCCGTCTCCTCGCTGCGCCTGCAGCAGGCCACCCGGCAGCGCTACCCCGTCGCGTATGAACGTCTTGTGTTTGAGGGGCGTTGGCGCGGCAAGTGGCACCGTTTCGCGGAGGAGGTTGTGGGGCTGCACTGCTTCCTCTACATGCCGCTGGACTACGCCGAGGCCTGCGGCCTCTGGGCCCACACCGCGCCGAATGAGCTGCGGTGCTGCCTTGTGGGCGAGGACCTCCGCGTGGTGCGGCAGGCGGACGAGGACATGGGCGCACGGCTGCGTGAGCGTCTTCTTCACAAGGGGGCGTTGCACCGCTTCTGCGACGCGGCGCTGCGGGCGGCGCAGGCGGACGCTGGTGCCGGCGGTGCTGGCAGGGCGAGGTGGAGGGCGCCTCCCCTGGCGCCGGCTCTTCGTGGGCTCGCGAAGGGCGCGCCCTACTCTGGCTGCGGCGGGGGCGCCGTGGGGCGGCTGCGGCGCGGCGCCGCGAGGGAGGTTGCGGGGATGCTGGTGGCGGAAGACTCGCAAGCGCGGCACGTGGGTGTGTCGCGCCTCCGCCGCCACGTTGCGCAATGTCTCGAGACGTGGGTGCCGGCGGACTCCGTGGCACGAACCGAGAAAGGCCGCTTCATGGCGGCGTTGGGGTGAGGGGCAAAGGCAGGGGGCCGCGCCCCAGGGAGTGGGGGGCGGATTGTTGCCGCCGCCGCTGCTCTTCTCTGGTCTCGTCACAGGGAAGTTGTGTTTCGCCTTCTTCACAGGACGCCAAGTTTGTATTTTATTATCACTTTTTCTTTTGTTTTGCGCTCTCACAGCAGGATGAGGCTGTCTGGCTTGCTCCCGCGTCCCTTCGGAGGCGCCGCTCCGCTGGGTACTTTTTCCTTTTGGCGTTGTGTGCTGCGTCTGTTGCGTGGCGCGTCTGCCGCGTGGTGTCGTGTCTGTGTGCCTAGTTTTTTTTCTGTTTTTGCCTTTCTTTATCCCTCTCATTCTCCTTTTGGCTGGTGGTTGGCCCTCAGCCGCAGCTCAAGCCGACAACAAATAACGAAGGGGAAAAAGTCAAGGGGAGGAATGTCTGGGAGGCGCGACGAAGAGCCTCACGCTGCTGATGCTGCGGAGGGTCCTGCACCTAATGTGCCGCAGCGACGGCGGGGGGCGAGGGCGGAGGAAGTGCCGCGGCGGCCACAGCGGCCACAGCGGCCACGGTGCCCATCGCAGCCAGAGCGGCCACGGCAGCCACGGCGGGCCTGTGACGTTGCGGTGAAAGA